TCCACGTGATAGAAAAGTCACAGCGTCGGAGATCCAGGATCGCGCCGCGTCGCCGACTGCATCGGCGCGATGCGGCACGATCCTGAGCCCGAGTCTCTCCACCCCGACGTCGCCGGCGCATCCGATCGCGATCGGGAGACCCGCAGCCTAGACCGATGGACATGCGAGCGAAGGTCTCCAGGAGATGATGTGCAGCAGTCAGGCAGACGCTTGAGCAAAAGCACGGTCTTGGGCAACCCCCAGTCCATCCATGCAGGAGGCGGCTTGCGCTGGAGGCGGTTGCCTCGCCGAGGTCGGGCCGGAAGGCCCACATTCTGGGACGGACGTGGCTGCGCTCTCCCACCAGGCTCAAGTCGGGCACGTCCCTCTACAGGAGGAATATTCGCAAATAGTAAAATATAGTCTGAGGGCGATTATTTATATTATTTTTGACTATTCGTTTTATTTTTGGCCCAAAATCCGCCTGTAGTTTGGCATCGCTCGGACATGTGCATTCTTCCGTCGGCGAGGACCATCGAGGACCTTGATCATTTGGCGAGAAAACCACGCACGACACCGAAAACAAAGCACAGGGAATGGACGTCCGAGCGATGGCCAGGCAGGGGGGACACGCCCGACCCGACACCGTGCGAACGGCGCACGGCCAGGGGCTCGCCCGCACGGGACGCTGGCGCGCAGGCCGCCCGCGTGCGGCCGAGGCCGCGCGCGGGCGACCGCCCCCTCGTCGACGCCGCGGCGGACCCCCGCGCGCGGGCGTGCAGCGTCGAGCGCCGCCGGCGGCCCACCAACGGTCAGCATTCGGGAGACGCGAGACGGGGGTCAGTGCAAACGGGGGTCAGCCAGGGCACCGGATCCTGCAGGATCCTGCGAAGGCCCCCTCTGGGAGGCGGCCGCGCCTATTGGCTGACCCGGGTTTGCGAAGATCTGCGTTGCAGTTTTTTTCCCCTGCAATGCAGTTTTTGGTTTCCTGCTGACCCGGGTCTGGATTGACCTGGGTCAGAAGATCCCCGAAGCATCGGGAAGCCGCGATCGTCGATGCGCCGGCGGCCGCCATGCTTGAGTTGGGCACGTCCCTCTACAGGGGGAATGTGGAGGAATGATTAAAAAGAAATCCCATGGGGAGGATATCCCTTCTGTTTTTGATTATTCTGAATGTTTGTTCTATAACTACTCATTCTTCGTCGACAGTCCGCCTGTAGGAGGACATGCCCGACCTAACATGATGTGCTCACGGTTACAAGGTCACACGCCGCCAGCGGCCTAGAGTCGGCCGACATCCGACCAAAATCATGCACCCTCGGACAGCCGCCACCGTCGATGCGGCGGCGCCCCCCGCGAGGGCATTCCCGGGTCGAACGCCGCCGGCAGCACGGAATCGGCCGACATCAGACGATGATTTTGCGCCATCGGTGAGCCGCGGCCGTTCAACTCAGGGTCGAGCGATCAAGGCGGTGTCAGAGACCGGCTCGCAAGTCGCCACGATCGGACCCAGCCACATCGAGCCGCGCTGGCGGCCCGCTACGCAGGCCACTGCGCAAGATCGCCGCGCCTTTGCGCGTGAGCCGAGGGAGAAAGACTGACGTGATCGTAAAGACCTAGACCTCCGAGGGAATGTGTTCGTCTATGCGGCTTATCCTCACGCGTCAGGAGGGCGATGTTGGACTCAGGATGGAACAAATAAACACATACACAACGTCCCTTCGATTCCCCGGAAAATAGTGGAGAGCATCGGAAGTGGAGGGGAAGACGAATTTCCAGAAAACATTGCCAAATATATGGGGGATCCCAGGCCTCTCGGCCTCTTTGGTATAGACTTACAGCCAGCGAACCCCCGATCAACCCCGCACGCCCCGGATGCTGCGTCCGCTGGGCCCCGAGGGGCCTGGGGCTCCCTGGGGGTTTCCGCCTCGCGTCGTCGGGCAGTCGAACCGAAGAACGAGATTATACCGTAAGGAGAAACGTGAGGGTTCCCTGGAGAGCCTCTTCTTCGTGGGGACTCGGGCGGGTGGTAACCAACCCGGACCCCCGCGCGCTGTGGAAAAATCACGTCGGGAGGTTTTTCCCCGTTTTCGGCCGTTGGGCCAGGCTCCGGGACCGTGCAAAAACGACTCGCACAGCCGCAGAAGGCGCGAGGCAGCACCCCCTCGACCGCGGGAGGGCCGCTGCAGCCACGAGCAGTACTGCATACCCTTTTGTAGGCGTTCCCGACATGTCGGCCGAGGCTTCTGTGTCGGTCGGGGTGGGGGGACGCCCAGCGTGGTCTAGTCCATCGCAGCCTACCTGGAACGTTCAGAGGCTTTCTTCGCTCCCATGTCGTGGTAAAAAACCGGTCCCGGGGAAGAGGACCAGACCTCTGGGGGTCGACGTGGGCACTCGTCGATCGCTGGGTGTAGATAGTCCCAGATTCCCAGATCCCCATCTGGCTCCTTCCTACTTCAAGAAGCGATGCGAAGCGATGTGCCTTCGCTGTGCTGCGTTTTCTTATCTGGGAGGGCCTGGTTCCAATATGTTCTTACCCGCCTTTTCTACTTCATGTTATTATCCACTTCTTCCGACCAGCGTGTACACTTTCGGAGGTCCGCGCAATTTTTTGGAATCGGCGCTGGACACCCCCCTCTCGCGCGCGGAGCGCGCCAGCGGCAGCGCTGGAGGCGCGGCCGGGGGGGGGGGCCCGCACCGGACCACAGATCTCCGCGCGGACCTCCGAGCGCATGTTTTGATGCAGCCGTCGCCGCAGCACAAACGCATGGTTGCTTCAGGGGGGTTGCTTCAGTGGGGTCAACGATTCGAGTTCCCGATGCCGACGCGACGCAAACGTGTGCTGCGACATTTGAGTTTCGGCGCTCGGGCGCCCCCGCCGAGCTGTTGGAGAGGGCCGCCCCCATCTCGGAAACTGGAATAAACCTTACCAGTGGCGGGCTTTGTTTCAATCCCACGACTTTTTGAGGGTCGGGGACGACGTCGGGGTGGTGTGGTGTATACTGTACCCCTGTTTTCCTAGGGAAACAACGAAAAGAAGGTATACACCAGGATCCCGTATACGCCAGGATCCGCGTTCCTGTGCGAATCTCAGCGCAGGGTCGGGAAATCGTCGGTGCATAGAGCTCGTTCCCTTACCATCGCCCCCCTCCGGGAGACGATCGGCGCCTGGCCTCCACCGAAGCAGCGGGGTCACGTCCTCTTCTTCGTCCGTCGAGGCCGCCCGAGATCCCGACTCCTCGCCGGTCCCTCGGCGGCTGCGGCGGCCCTCGGCGGGCGACCCTCGCCTGACCTCGGCAGCCCTCGTCGACCGGCTCGCGGCGGCCTTCGGTGGGCCGCGGCCCCCTGCGGCCCTCGGCGGCCTGCGGCGAGCGGCTCGGCGGCCTTGGGCGGGCGACCCTCGGCGGCCTTCGGCGGCCCCGAGGTGGACTTCCGCCAGTGGTGGCACGACGACGCCGCTGCGCGGGGCAGTCCGGCATCCTCGCCCGTGCGCCGACGCGCGGGACTGCAGGCCGCGGTACGGGGAGTCAAGCAGCGGGGAGGCGCCCTGCTCTCGGAGGCGGCCGTGGTTTTGTGGCGGCCGAGCTTCGAATGCCCTTGCGTCGGGCACTGTCCCTCTACAGGAGGAAAGGTCAAGAATTGTAAAACACTAGTCTGGGGACGATCCTATTATGGGGGAGCGAGCGATGACATAAACATAATAACTCGGAGGTCCGCCCAGATTTCACGGAACGGCGGTGGGGGCCCGTGGCGGCGCCTCCGGCGTCGCCTCTGGCGCGCGGAGCGCGCCAGGGAGGGGGATCCAGCGCGAATCCAAGAAATCCGCGCGACCTCAATGTTCGAATTATTCTGCAACTTTCGCTCCCCTAATATGATCTTTGCGTATTTTTGAATATGTCTGTCTATGCTTTGTTTTTCTTCCGAAATCCGCCTGTAGGAGGACATGCCCGATCTAAAACTACACGCATCAAGCACTGGCGAAGCGTCCCAGCGTGCCTGCCCACCCAACAATGTTATGAAATTTGTTTTGTGGTTTCGACGCAACGCTCCCAGAGCCCTTCTGGCTTGGACTGTCGTGTTTTACTGTGCTGCGGGCTTATCTTCCAAGAGCATGGTTTTTGTTCCAAGGACATGGTTGTGGCTATTCCACCACATTTGGGTTCTAAGCGAATGTCGTGGTAGGCCTGCAGGACTGCCAGGATGGTCGGTCCCTGCTCAAACGTAAGGGTGACCTTTCGCCGGAGTGACCTCTGGGGCTCTCTGGGATTCCCCGATCGCCGAACTCGATGCGATAGCTGCGCCTTGCGCGCTTGGGTTTGGCCCCTCCGCGGATCTCAGACATCAGCGCACCAAAGGTCACTCCTTACCCAGGGTCACCATTGCGTGTAGCCCAGAACATTGGTTCCGGCGAGCAGGACGGGGGGGTTAGGCTCGAGGTGTTGGGTACGAGACGGCTGTTGCTTATGTTCGGCCTCTGGGCGCCGTCTTGGGCACCCTGCAGCACCGTCAGAAGAACGGATCCGGGGTGAAAAGCTGCGCCAGGGGGGCCCCAGGAGGGGCCCGGGAACCGATGTTGAGCGCATTTGCCTCTCTCTCTCCCCCCCTCTTAACAGAGTTTCTCGAGGTCCATCCAGTTCAGACCCTCCAGCCGCCTCCAATCCTGACCTGCTACACGGTCAGGAGTTTGGGCTTCGCGTGTCATTCCGCCGGTTCTGGCCCAACGCGCTACGGCGCGACACGCTATCCACGTCCCACTCCCGAGGCGTCAACGTCCCGAGCTTTTCCCAGCCTCCCGCCCCGCGGAGCGGAGCGACATGCTGTCCACAGGGCAAAGCGTGTCGCCAGGGCCGCCGCCGCGACACGCTAAGCAAATTTCCTGACCGTGGGCCCACCGAATAATGTTCCGATCGTTGTTCCTGGTTTGCAGGGCACGTCCTTAGGACATGTCCAGCTGAGACAGCCTTGCTTCAACGTATCATCGACTTCTTGTTGTAATGGCATTGTTATCGTCATTGCATCTCTGATTTGTGATAGAAGAACAAATCGCCATGAACATAATCTTTTGGCGCTCCGCGCGGATTTCTTGGATCTGCGTTGGACCCCCCTCCCTGGCGCGCGGAGCGCGCCAGGGGCGGCGCCGAGGCGCCGGGGGGGGGGGGTCCCAGCGCGGATCCCAGAAGTCCGCGCGGAGCGCCAAAAGATTATGGTTATGGCGATGTTTGCCTTCTTCCAACCTGTCGTGGTGGGCCTTGACATGCTGGGGCCGGCGGCCCCTGCTGGGGGGAGGGGCAGGCGCTGCGGGGGCCCGCGGGCGGCCCCGACGGCGACGCCGAGCAGCTGGGCTTCCTGCACGCCGCCTCGGAGGGGCCCACGCGACCGCCGCTGCACTCTCGGATCGTTATCTCGGGGGAGGAAAACCCAGACATGATCGCGTTGTTAAACGTCAGGACGGTCTGCTTTTCGCCACTTTCGGCCCCTGGGGGCCCTGGCAGGGCCCAGGGACCGTCAAAGAACGGTTTCAGGATGAAAAACCGGTCCTGGGGAATGGGTCGAGAATCCCGGGGACCCAGTACTGAAAAAAACACGTCGTCAGATCTTTGGGATCCCTCGTCGCCGCGGCCAGGTTCTCCTCGAAATGATGGTCAGAACGTTCGTGGATGTGGCGGGATCGGTGCCGCTCTGCTCCCCCAGGACGGTTGAGACAGCGGTAGCTGGCCGTCGGGGGCCCCCTCGTCGCCACAGCTGGACGCAGCTCGGAGCACCTGTGCACTTGGCAGGGCCCCGGGGAGGGGTCCAGGAACCGACTCTGAGCTGCCGTCGTCTCGGCTCGCCCTGCGAGGTCCGCCGCGGGCCTCTCGCGTCGGATCGGATCTGGGTCTTTGGAGCTGGCTGTGGGACTGAGGTGGCCCAGCATTACATCGGGCCTGTCCCTCTACAGGAGGAATATTTTAAAATAGTAAAAACATAGCCTGGGGACTATGTGTGAGTAGTTGTTTGACCATTTGGAGTAGTTGTTTAAACTATTTCTATTTGTCCTCGAAGATCCCCCCTGTAGGGGGACAGGCCCGACTTACGCCCAGCACTGGTTCGGGCGTGCATCGGATCGGATCTGGGTCCTCGGAGCTGGCTGTGGGACGGAGGTGGCCCAGCATTGAATCGGGCCTGTCCTTCTACAGGAGGAATATTCAAAAATTGTAAACAACATAGTCTGGGGACTATGTGTGAGTATTAGCTTGACCATTCTGGAGTATTTTAATTACGCTACCGAAGAACCCCACATACTTAATTTAAATATGATGTGCTTGCTTATGTTTTAATATATGCGCAATCCTGCGTTCTGAGCCCTCGTCGCGAATGTTTCCCTATGTGTCATCCAACGCCATATTGCTTGCCACGCTTTGCGAGCCCGCAGCGGATAGGGAGACCACCCCCAGCGCACCCCCTGTCGTGTCGAGGAAGTGCCACGCCTGCCACGCTTTGCGAGCCCGCAACGGATGAGGATACCACCCCCAGCGCACTCCCTGTGGTGTCGAGGAAGTGCCACGCCTGCCACGCTTTGCGAGCCCGCAACGGATAGGGAGACCACCCCCCAGCGCACTCCCCTGTGGTGTCGAGGAAGTGCCACGCCTGCCACGCTTTGCGAGCTTGCAGCGGATAAGGAGACAATCCCCAGCGCACCCCCTGTGGTGTCGAGGAAGTGCCACGCCTGCCACGCTTTGCGAGCCCGCAACGGGCAGGGAAACCACCCCCAGCGCACCCCCATGTGGTGCCGAGGAAATGCCACGCTTGCCACGCTGTGCGAGCTTGCAGCGGATAAGGAGACAATCCCCAGCGCACCCCCTGTGGTGTCGAGGAGATGCCACGCCTGCCACGCTTTGCGAGCCCGTCACGGATATGGAGACCACCCCCAGCGCAATCCCTGTGGTGTCGAGGAAGTGCCACGCCTGCCACGCTTTGCGAGCCCATCACGGATAGGTGACCACCCCCAGCGCACCCCTTGTGGGGCCGAGGAAATGCCACGCTTGCCACGCTGTGCGAGCCCGCAACGGATAGGGAGGCCACCCCCAACGCGCCCCCTTATGGTGTCGAGGAAGTGCCACGCCTGCCACGCTTTGCGAGCCCGCAACGGATAGGGAAACAACCCCCAGCGCACCCCCCCTGTGGTGCCGAGGAAGTGCCACGCCTGCCACTCTTTGCGAGCCCGAAACGGATAGCGTCCCCACCCACAGTTCCCCCCTTGTGGTGTCGAGGAAGTGCCACGCCTGCCACGCTTTGCGAGCCCGAAACGGGTAGCGTCCCCACCCACAGCTCCCCCCCGTGGTGTCGAGGAAGTGCCACGCCTGCCACGCTTTGCGAGCCCAAGGGTAGCGTCCCCACCCACAGCTCCCCCCTGTGGTGTCGAGGAAGTGCCACGCCTGCCACGCTTTGCGAGCCCGAAACGGTAGCGTCCCCACCCCAGCTCCCCCCCTGTGGTGTCGAGAATGCCACGCCTGCCACGCTTTGCGAGCCCGAAACGGATAGCGTCCCCACCCACAGCTCCCCCCCTGTGGTGTCGAGGAAGTGCCACGCCTGCCACGCTTTGCGAGCCCGAAACGGATAGCGTCCCCACCCACAGCTCCCCCCTTGTGGTGTCGAGGAAGTGCCACGCCTGCCACGCTTTGCGAGCCTGGAACGGATAGCGTCCCCACCCAGAGCTCCCCCCCTGTGGTGTCGAGGAAAGGTGCCACGCCTGCCACGCGTTGCGAGCCCGAAGCGGATAGCGTCCCCACCCACAGCTCCCCCCTGTGGTGTCGAGGAAGTGCCACGCCTGCCACGCTTTGCGAGCCCGAAACGGATAGCGTCCCCACCACAGCTCCCCCCTGTGGTGTCGAGGAAGTGCCACGCCTGCCACGCTTTGCGAGCCCGAAACGGATAGCGTCCCCACCCACAGCTCCCCCCCTGTGGTGTCGAGGAAGTGCCACGCCTGCCACGCTTTGCGAGCCCGAAGCGGATAGCGTCCCCACCCACAGCTCCCCCCCTGTGGTGTCGTGTGTGTGCGAGCGAGCTCCCCCCTGTGTGTCGAGGAAGTCCCCCCTGTGATGTCGAGGAAGTGCCACGCCTGCCACGCTTTGCGAGCCCGAAGCGGATAGCGTCCCCACCCACAGCTCCCCCCCTGTGGTGTCGAGGAAGTGCCAGGCCTGCCACGCTCTGCGAGCCCGAAACGGGTAGCGTCCCCACCCACAGCTCACCCCCTTGTGGTGTCGAGGAAGTGCCACGCCTGCCACGCTTTGCGAGCCCGAAACGGGTAGCGTCCCCACCCACAGCTCACCCCCGTTGTGGTGTCGAGGAAGTGCCACGCCTGCCACGCTTTGCGAGCCCGAAACGGATAGCGTCCCCACCCACAGCTCCCCCCGCTGTGGTGTCGAGGAAGTGCCACGCCTGCCACGCTTTGCGAGCCCGAAACGGATAGCGTCCCCACCCACAGCTCCCCCCTTGTGGTGTCGAGGAAGTGCCACGTCTGCCACGCCTGTGCCACGCCTGTGCCACGCCTGTGCTGTGCTCTGCTGTGTTGTGTGCTGTGCTGTGCTGCGGTGGGCTGTGCCGTGCTGAGCTGAGCTGCGCTGTGCTGAGCTGAGCTGTGCTCTGCTGTGTGCTGTGCTGTGCTGTGCTGTGCTGTGCTGTGCTGCGGTGAGCTGTGCTGCGCTGTGCTGTGCTGAGCTGAGCTGAGCTGTGCTAAGCTGTGCCGTGCTGAGCTGAGCTGAGCTGAGCTGTGCTGAGCAGTGCTGTGAGGAGGAGGGGAGGTGTGAGGTGAGACGCGGGTGCGACGCGGCAGGGAAGAAAACCAGAACCCCACTAAGCATGTGGGGAAACACAACTATTTTTAGGTTTCCTCGAAAATCCCCCCTGTATGGGGGACAGGCCCGACTTAAGCCCAGCAATGGTTTGGATGTGCAGAGCGAGGAGAAGGGGGGACCCCTCGTCGCCACGACTGGACGTGGATTGGTCAGCTTCGACTCCAGGAGGGACCTGGGGACCGATTTGGACGAATGTGTCGTCATCCTCCTCCCTTCATATATTTTCCGCTGTGCTTCTCCAGCTCAGACCCCCCCCGCCGCCTCCAATTTGGTCCGCTGCCGAATGCGAAGCAGCAAACTTGCATAACTATGTATGCCAGCGTGGACCCCAAGCAGTGAGTTGCTGAACTGCGGATGTGCAGATTGTGTTGTGCAACTGAAAAATGTGTGGTGCACGACGCCTCAGACGGCCTCTTCGGGGGTTGCTGAAGGGGTCCTTGACCCTAGGTGTCCTCGGCCTTTCGCTCCATTTTGGAGCCCCCCAGTTACCACCTTGAAACAGATCCCTGATCCTGCGTTCGGCATCACCTAACTTCGGTGCTGGTCTTGAGGATCCCCTCAGTTCCTGAGGGCGCACCCCGAAACTTGTCACCGCCATCGGGCCTGTCAATCTTCAGCCCGGGGACAAGTCCGAGGCTGCTTCCTCTGGGTCCTCTGGGCTTCGTGTGGGGGTGCTCCAGAGGCCGCCAGGGTATCGGACCCCGGGGGGCGACGACAGGGGGGCATATCCACAGGGGGCACGCATCGACCTCGAGCGGTTTGCACACATCGACGATGCGTCCTTGACATCCGGGTCGATGTGTCGACGATGCACAGGCGCCACGTGGGGCGGTCCGCATCGGCGATGCCTGGGCGACGCATCGGCCATTCGAGGCCGATGCCTCCCCCCCCCATGCCCAAGGCAGGGCTGAACCTGAACGGTGTTGTTCGTGTTCGTTTTGTTTTCGTTTCCCCTCGCTTTGTCTTCAATCCGCCTTTCACGCAAAACGATATCGAAACGAAAACGGCCCACGAAATCGCCAAAACGCCGTTCGGGTCCACCCCACGCCCGAGGGTTGGCGAAGGAAGCGATGCGCAGGCGCAGGCCTGCGGAGCTCCGCCGCCGAGCGCTTCGCGGCGGGCCCGGCCCTGGCCCCGCCGCCGCGGCATCGGAGGGGAGGCCACTCCACGAGGCAGGGGCGTGGCCTGAGGTCCGACGCGTTGTGACTGAGGTTCATCTGGGCCTCCCGGATGGGGTCCGAGCAGGTGGGGCCGGAGGATCGCAGCGCATTGGCGAGACATCGGCGATGCGGCTCCATGTGGAGCCCGCTTTCCTCCACGCAGACGGCGCCGATGCATCGCCGACGTCGCCAGTGCATCGCCGATGCATCGCCGATACATCGGTGATGCATTGGCGATGCGGTGCGATCCTTCGACCCCAACACCCCATCCAGGAGGCCTCTAATTCAGCATCGCAAAAGAAAACTCGACCCGACCCCTGGACCCCATCTTTTCGTCGGGGCTCAAGAGGCGGGGGTCAATGCAAAGAGGGGTCAGCCAGAGCGCCTGGATCTTGCAGGATCCTGCAGAGCCAGGGTCGCATTCACTGTTGGGGTGGCCCCAAGGGTATGAGGAGGTTAGAAGTAGATGCCAAGGTGGGTGGTTATATCTGGCCTAACCAAAAAGGCATGCAAGTGGGTTACATGGTGAGGGGATAACTCCGGTGCTCCACCCCCTTAGGCCAGATCTGTTATCCCCCTAAACCGCTTTGGGCACCTGCAGCCCTCTTTTGAGCTGGGCTGGGCCAGACATGAAGCCCACCTTGCCGTGCGCTTCTGCCACCATCTATCCCCTTGCCAGCCCCCGCAGTTATCCAAGCAGGAAGGACCCCCCGGAACGAGTACCTCGCTGCCGCAGCGGCCCCAGTGCCCCGATCGCGGTGTGCCCTGTGCGCTGCAGCGGCCCCGCCGGTCGGCAGACCAGCTCGGCTTCGGCTCCAGTCGACGGGCGTTCGACGCGGACTCGACGCGTGAGCGGAGCGCGTGGCTCGAGGAAGGCCCCCAGCTTTCTCGGCGAGGTCAGCGCCAGAAGACTTGGACCGCTTTGGAGCATCTTGCCCCCTCTCGAGAAAAAAGCACGCTCCTCCTCCTCCTCCTCCTCCTCCTCCTCGTCCTCGTGTTGTATTGCTGGGTAGGCCCAGCACTTGACCTATCCCGCCCCTGGTGGGGCCTCCTCCCGCCCCGCCTGTTGGCTGGGGGAAGGGGCCAGGGGGCGACCTCACCCTGCGGGGTTGCGGTCGCTGGTCGAATGCTCGGGTCCTGCCCGTTGCTTTACTATTTGTTGGTTTCCCCCCTAAGGCACGGCGTTTCCGGCGCTATTGGGGGCTAGCCAATAATAGGAGGCCAGAGGACGGATTCAGTTTGTGCCTGCTTCCTCTTTGTACACGTGTGCCCTTTGCTAAGGGAAGGTATGATGTGCGGCAGGTTTGCCAGGGCATGCTCGCCCGCGCCATGATCGGCGCCACGTTTACCCGTATGGGCATGATTAACGTTCTTCCCTCACGGGCAGACGAACAACCCCTCCTCCTCCTCCTCCTCCTCCTTCGGAACGGCGCGAAGATGGAGTTTTTGAATATCGAGTTCCTGAGGTAGGATTCTCCGTGGGGGCGTTCTGCGGGACGTTCTCCGTGGGAGCGCTTTGCGTTCTGAAGATCGCAGGATCACGGATCATCCCAAGAGACGGCAGGTTCTCAAGAAACGGTGGACTGCATGCGCCCCAAAGCGCCGAAAGCGAGCATTCAACTACATCCCTCCTGGTCCTCATGTTTTTCATGAAAATCCCCCTGCTCATCATCTTCCCCTCCCCTCCTCATCCTCCCTCCTCCTCCTCCTCCTTCCCCCTCCTCCTCTTCTTCCTCCTCTTCCTCCTCAACCTCCTTCATCCTCCTCCTCCTCCTCCTCCTCTCCTCCTCCTCCTCCTCCTCCTCCTCCTCCTCCTCCTCCTCCTCCTGGATGGGGGAATGGATGTCCGAGCGATGGCAAGCGCTCTGCGCTGCAGTGGCCGCGCCGGTCAGCAGAGGGCCCCACCCGGCGGCCTTTCCGAGGCCGCCGCCGCACGCGGCCGCCGCTGCGCGCACCGCCGCAGGCCGGCGGCCTGCTGGGCGGGGCCAACGAGCGTCGGAGACGCTGGAGAGGCTGGGGGATGAGAGGGAGGAGAGGGAGGAGAGGGAGGAGAGGGAGGAGAGGGAGGAGAGGGAGGAGAGGGAGGAGAGGGAAGAGGAGGAGGAGGAGGAGGAGGAGGAGGAGGAGGAGGAGGAGGAGGAGGAGGAGGAGGAGGAGGAGGAGGAGGGGAGGGACGAGGAGGAGGCGGAGGAGGAGGAGGCGGAGAGGGAGGAGGGGGAGGGGGAGGAGGAGGAGGATGAGGAGGAGGAGGAGGAGGAGGAGGAGGCGGAGGAGGAGGACGGAGGAGGAGGAGGCGGAGGAGAGGAGGGGAGGAGGAGGAGGAGGAGGAGGAGGAGAGGCGGAGGAGGAGGAGGGGAGGAGGAGGAGGAGGAGGAGGAGGAGGAGGAGGGAGGAGGGAGGAGGAGGAGGAGGAGGAGGAGGGAGAGGGAGGAGGGAGGAGGGAGGAGAGGAGGAGGAAGGGAGGAGGAGGGAGAGGAGGAGAGAGGAGGAGGAGGAGGAGGAGGAGGAGGAGAGGAGGAGGGAGGAG